GAACCCCCGGGGGAAATAATGGGCCATATGGGCCATGAGAGGGGAGCCCACCAGCCCACCAGGGGTGGCGCCCCCCTATGGCAGGGGGCGATTGGGAGAAGGAAGAGGGGGTTCGGCCCCCCTTTCCTTCCTCCCTTCCCTCTTCCCTTTTCCTCTCTCAGTAAAATAGGGAAGGGGGCGCCACTTGGGAAACCCCAAGTAGGATTAGTATCCTACTTGGGGCGCCCCATGGCTGCCTCTCCTCCCCTTCCACCTATATATATGTGGGGAGGGGGCGCCTATAACACATAACATCAATTGTTAGCCGTGTGCGGCACCCCCCTCCACAGTTTACACCTCCAGTCATTGTTTTTGCGGTGCTTAGGTGAAGCCCTGTGAGAATCACTTCACCATCACCGTCACCACGCCGTCATGCTGACCGAACTCATCTACTACCTCGACACCTTGCTGGATCAAGAAGGTAAGGGACGCTGATACGTCTCCAACGTATCTATAATTTTTTATTGTTTCATGCTATTATATTATCTGTTTTGGATGTTTAATGGGCTTTAATATGCTCTTTTATATTATTTTTGGGACTAACCTATTAACTGGAGGCCCAATGCCAGTTTCTGTTTTTTTGCCTATTTTAGAGTTTTGCAGAAAAGGAATACCAAACGGAATGAAACCTTCGCGATGATCTTTCTTGGACCGAAAGCAAGCCAGAAGACTTGGAGTTGAAGTCTGGAACTCCGCGAGGCAGCCACGAGGCAAGAGGGCGCGCCCAGGGGGTAGGCGCGCCCCCACCCTCATGGGCCCCATGGAGCTCCACCGACATACTTCTTTCTCCTATATATACCCTTATACCCTAAAAACATCAGGGAGAGCCACGAAACCACTTTTCCACCGCCACAACTTTCTGTACCTGTGAGATCCCATCTTGAGGCCTTTTCCAGCGATCTGCCGGAGGGGGAATCGATCACGGAGTGCTTCTACATCAACACCATAGCCTCTCCGATGAAGCGTGAGTAGTTTACCACAGACCTTCGGTTCCATAGTTATTAGCTAGATGGCTTCTTCTCTCTCTCTTTGATTCTCAATACAAAGTTCTCCTTGACGTTCTTGGAGATCTATTCGATGTAATACTCTTTTGCGGTGTGTTTGCCGAGATCCGATGAATTGTGTATTTATGATCAAGTTTATCTATGAATATTATTTGGTTCTTCTCTGAATTCTTATATGCATGATTTGATATCTTTGCAAGTCTCTTCGAATTATCGGTTTAGTTTGGCCTACTAGATTGATCTTTCTTGCAATGGGAGAAGTGCTTAGCTTTGGGTTCAATCTTGTGGTGTTCTTTCCCAGTGACAGTAGGGGCAACAAGGCACGTATTGTATTGTTGCCATCGAGGATAAAAAGATGGGGTTTATATCATATTGCTTGAGTTTATCCCTCTACATCATGTCATCTTGCTTAATGCGTTACTCTGTTCTTATGAACTTGATACTCTAGATGCATGCTGGATAGCGGTCGATGTGTGGAGTAATAGTAGTAGATGCATAATCGTTTCGGTCTACTTGACACGGATGTGATGCCTATATTCATGATCATTGCCTAGATATTCTCATAACTATGCGCTTTTCTATCAATTGCTCGGTAGCAATTTGTTCACCCACCGTAATACATGCTATCTTGAGAGAAGCCACTAGTGAAACCTATGGCCCCCGGGTCTATTTTACATCATATTAGTTTCCCATCAACTTACCAATTTCTGTCGCCGTTTATTTTGCAATCTTTACTTTCCAATCTATACAACAAAAATGCCAAAAATATTTACTTTACTATCTTTATTAGATCTTACTTTTGCGAGTGGCCGTGAAGGGATTGACAACCCCTTTATCGCGTTGGTTGCAAGGTTCTTAATTGTTTGTGTAGGTACTAGGTGACTTGTGTGTTGTCTCCTACTGGATTGATACATTGGTTCTCAAAACTGAGGGAAATACTTACGCTACTTTGCTGCATCACCCTTCCCTCTTCAAGGAAAAACCAATGCATGCTCAAGAGGTAGCAGACGTCCCCGAGCTGAACGTGTGCAGAACTCGAAGGTGTCGTACGTTCGGTGCTTGATCGGTCGGAGTTAGAAGAAGTTCGACTACATCAACCACGTTGTCAAACGCTTCCGCTTTCGGTCTACGAGGGTACGTAGACACACTCTTCCCCCTCATTGCTATGCATCTCCTAGATAGATCTTGCGTGAGCGTAGGATTTTTTTTGAAATTGCATGCTACGTTTCCCAACATCTTTTGATCAATGAGCTACTCCAGTAGAGACTACCAGGGACTTGGTATTTGCTTATGTATTCACACATGTATTTAAGTTTCCAATCAATACAATTCTAGCATGAATAATAAATCTTTATCATGATTAAGAAAATATAATAATAACCACTTTATTATTGTCTTTAAGGTATATTTCCAACACTCCAAAGTACTTATCAATGAAAAACAACTTGCAAATTAGAGTGCCAGACCACCAAGGACAATAGCAACACACCTTCAAATCAAAGTTACTAGAATGCATCGTTCACACACGAGCATATTTGACATGAACAAGTAAAGGAAAATAGAACTATAGAGATGAATAATTTAGTTGAAAGTAAAATTCAGAGTATTTACTAGGAAAATGAATCACCGTGCTGAAGATTTGTAGGTTCGCACAACATCGCAAAACCGGTCAGGGAGGAGCCAAGGAGTTGGCGACCGGGTCACCGCCGACGAGGGGGAGGAATACACGAGATGATCCTGGAGAGAGAGAGAGAGAGATAAAGAGAGAGAAGGCGACCAACCGACCGTTGTCGGAGATCCATATTAGACGAACTCCGAACTGATCTGCCTCAGACAGCGCCTCCAGCGACACAACATCCAAGAGCCATCAGAGAGATGGTACAACAACTCCACCCTACATACCCGCCTAACTTGGAGAAGGGATCTGGGCCGCAACCGCCGCTGCTATTGGGGGAGATTTTGTGTGCTGCCGTTGCGTAGGTGATTTGGACTTGGAACGACGAGGACATCAGAACCAAATTAGCTTCTAGGGAGGGTCCTTTTTACAAATTGTGCGCACAAATTGCTCCACTCCTATCTGGGCCACCAATCTCACATATGATGGTCCTGATCCATTTTTCTATTTTTCTATCACAAGCCCACATTCTATTGTAGTTGTCCCCCATTCTTTCCCTAAAAAAGGGAAAACCCCTCTTATCCATTGCATATTGCTCCCAAAAGAGAACATCAATCCAAATTTTAATATGCTCACAAATGATTTCAAATTTTTTGCCTAGTAAAATGAATTACTTTCTTTACAACTTGTCAAGCTATTGACCCTGTACACGTTAGTGCAGATACTAAGTTTTTTAGTGAATTGTCCTAAACTTCAAGACCCTAAGATTATCCAATCATCCTCAACCTCCCAGATTGGTTCTCCAAAGTACTTCAATGAAAGAAAAGTTGCAAACTAGAGTACCAAACCACCAAGGACAATAGAAACACACCTTCAAATCAAAGTTACTAAAATGCATCTTTCACACACGAGCATATTTGACATGAACAATTAAAGGAAAATATAACTACAAAGATGAATAATTTACTTGAAAGTAAAACTCGAAGTATTTTACGAGGAGAATGAATCACCGTGTCGAAGATTTGTAGGTTCGCACGACGTCACGTAACCGGTCGGGGAGGAGCCAAGGAGCTGGTGTTGCCGCCGACGAGGGGGGAGGGGGGAAGATACACGAGTTGATCCTGGAGCTTGAGAGAGAGAAGGCAACCAACCGACCGCTATCGGAGATTCAGATCAGACAAACTCCGATCTGATTTGCCTCAAACATCGCCTCCAGCGACACAACAACCAAGAGCGTAGGTGATTTAGACTTGGAACGACGAGGACAGCGAGACCAAATTAGCTTGTGGGGAGGGTCCTTTCTACAAATTGTGTGCACAAATTGCTCCACTACAATCTGGACCATCAATCTCGCGTCTGATGGTACAGATCGATTTTTCTATCACAAGCCCACGTTCTATTGTAGTTGTCCTCCCTTCTTTTCTTTCCGTAAAAAGAAGAAGAAAGAAAACCCCTCTTGTCCACTGCATATTGCTCCTAAAGGAGGACCCCCAAACCCTAGCTTTATCAAGGATCCCGTCCCAAGCGGCGGCGGCGCATAGAGATGAAGCGCAAGAACAAGGAGCAGAGGAGGGCAGATGGAATCACCGATAGAGGCAGTGATTCGCTGGAGACCATGCGGCCGAACAAGAAGCAGAGGTTGGGCGGTGGCAGCGGTAGCGATGAGGAGACCTCGCCCTACCTGGTGGTAGGTCATGGGAGCGTGAGCCCTGCCTTCTCCGTGTTCAAGGTGGAACCCTACACCGACGGCGGCGGCGACACCCCGGTGAGCATCCCGCGCCGCCTCGCCCGCCTCAAATGCAAACACAACATGTCTTTCGTCCCTTTGAGATTGAAGGACCGCCGGTGGATCGTCGGCGTCGGCGGCAGCTCAACCGAGAACTACTACGGCCCGGGGACCATCATTTTCGACACCGAGAAGCAGTTGGTGATCCGGGGACCGGAACCTAAGTCGATCAAGAGCCACCCGATCCTGCTACCCATCGACCAGAAGATCTACGCCCTTTCCCGAAGCCCCTCAGTGAAGGGACCGCTCGATTACTTGCCCTGGTTCGAGGTCCTCGATCTCTCCCAGGCACAGGAAGTTGACGGCTGTCTAACCAACTGCAAGTGGAGCTCCCTGCAGCGGCCGCCCTTCTTTCCCTGGGAGCTCACCCCACGGCAGTACTTATGTCCACCGAGGGTTGCCGTCGAGTCATACGTCGCCGTGGGCTCCCACATACTGGTTTCTGTGACCGGACGGGTGGGCACATACGCTTTTGACACGAAGGGCTCGAAGAAGTGGGTGACGGTGGATGACGAGAACAACCTGCCGTTCAGCGATGGTGCCATCCCGCACGGAGGTGGGCTCTTCCTCGGCTTATCAAGCACCACAAAGGCCATCACTGGATACAAGATTAATATCGGCACTAGGTCACTCTCTGTTGTTGAGATTCCTGTGGTGTCCGACTTGGAAGATGAAGAGCTGGTCGGTCGCTCACACAATTTCCTTTCCCTGGGGATTGATAGTGGCTTCTGCTTGGTGACCTGTTGGAGTGTTGACGAATCGCCGTATCCCCCGTATCACCGGGCGCACATCAGGGTGAGGACGTACAGAACAGATGATTTTGTGGAGTCGGAGGGAAAATGCTTAGTCGTCTCCAAGCAGTGGATGCAGGTTTACAAGATCCGCGATTTGATCCGGACACTAGATGCGCCATGTCTGGTTGGTGTGGTCTACATATGAGTAAGCCCTTTTCGCATCTGTCTGACTTCATGGATAAATTAGTCTCATCTGATTGCAACTTTATTTGCACCTGTAGATTCTCATGAATTTATTAGAACAAGTGCACATAATTCTGGATTGTCATGATAAATTTGTCACACTTTCTGTTAACTTATTACTCTGGTCATCTTGTTTAACAATATTATTCCCTTCTTACAATACATTAGCAAACTACAGTATGTTATCATCATTGGTTAGTTGGGTCTGGATGCTGGAGTTAGCTGTTAGATAGAAATCCTAATGTTTATCATCATCACTGGTAGTTTTTTGAAGATGCATGAATGGTCCCAAATTGTTCGTGTGTTAGCTCATATCTAGATGTCCATGAAAGGATTGATTTTGGACATGTATTTTGAAGGCAATTAAACTGATAAAAATGCCACAGGAAGGCCATAGCCTCGAAAGTGGCACCAAGTTAACACACCTTGTGCAATTTAGTAAAAATAATAATCATTGTGTGTACCCTTTTCCGTATTTTCTAAATCTGCCATCTTTAGCTAAAATGGAGCTACAAACACTGGTTACCAGATTCGTGATTTGTGCGGTTCCCTATGAAAATTAGAAATAGACATATCCATGTGGGCTGGGCCAGACCGAATAGGCCCATGAGCTGCTCTCCGATAGGCATCCATCTGCGCATTTGCCCCACTCTTGCAGTCGCTGGAAGATGCGTTACTTCCCAGTGCTCTCGCCCTAGTCCTCTCCTGCAGCCTAAATCGTGATTCCATTTCGATTCTTGAGCTCAGCAAATCAGGACCAAACTCTGACCGTTCTGTAGGGAAGTGGAACCCCAATCTAGATCGATCAATCTAGATCAGGGTTCAAAGCCCGCTCCAGGGAATCTGGTACTGCAAACCACCATTATTTTGTACCACTTCTCTTGAATTATGTCAAGAGTACTAGCTGCTTATACTCAGCAAATGGCATAGCGTTGCTCTGAATAGTCAGTAATTTGGTCTGTATGGTTGCATTCTCATATAGGAACAATAGCTTGAAATAGGAGCTCACCCATTAATGTGTCCAGATAATGACATATGTGATAAGCTTTCAAATACATCAAAATATCATCACTGTAGTTTGGATGGTTGCGTTCACATATAGGAATTCGGATGACGACAAAGCTACTAGTTTAGGTATATCCCAAATTGCTTCTCCTTACCCTTTTATTTAAGTAGTTGGCTCAATCATTGCAGCAGCTCATTTATTGCAAGTAGGCTCGTCGTTACAGGGAAAATTCATGTACTATTAAGGACATACCTGCTTACAACAACAACAACCACAACAAATCGTTTAGTCCCAAACAAGTTGGGGTAGGCTAGAGCTGAAACCCATAAGATCTCGAAACCAACTCATGGTTCTGGCACGTGGATAGCTAACTTCCACGCATCTCTGTCCATGGCTAGTTCTTTGGTGATATTCGAGTCCTTCAGATCTCTTTTTACGTATTTCTCTCCCATGTCTGTTTGGTCTACCCCGAGTTCTCTTGACATTATCAAAATGCTTTAACCATCCGCTATGCATTGGAGCTTCTGGAGGCCTACGTTGTATATACCCAAACCATCTCAGATGGTGTTGCACAAGCTTCTCTTCAATTGATGATACCCTTACTCTATCACGTATATCGTTATTCCGGACCCGATCCTTTCTTGTGTGGCCACACATCCATCTCAACATGCGCATCTCTGCTACACCTAACTATTGAACATGTCACCTATTAGTTGGCCAACACTCAGCTCCATAAAGCATTGCAGGTTGAATGGCCGTCCTATAGAACCCGCCTTTTAGCTTGTGTGACACTCTTTCACAAAGAACGCTAGAAGCTTGGTGCCACTTCATCCATCCGACTTTGTTTCGATGGCTCACATCTTCATTGATATCACTATCCTTCTGCAACATTGACCCCTAATATTAGAAGGTGTACTTTTGAGGTACCAGTTGCCCATCAAGGCTAACCTTCTCCTCGTGCCTAGTAGTACTGGAACCGCACCTCATATACCTAGTTTTAATCCTACTAAGCCTATCATCGACTAACACCACATCATCATCCGCAAAGAGCATACACCTTGGGCTTTTTCCTTCTATATCTCTTGTGACCTCATCCATCACCAAAGCATAAAGATAAGGGCTCAAAGCTGACCCTTGGTGCAGTACTATTTTAACTGGGAAGTCATTAGTGTCAAAATCACTTGTTTGAAAACTTGTCTCAACATTGTTGTACATGGCCTTGATGAGGGTAATGTGTTTTGTTGGGACTTTGTGTTTCTCCAAGTCCCAACACATGACATTCTGCGATATCTTCTCCAAGTTAACGAACACCATATGCGAGTCCTTGTTTTGATCCCTTATTTCTTCGTAAGTTGTCATACCAAGAATTTGGCTTCCAGGGTCGACGTCCCAGGCATGAAACCAAACTGATTTTTGGTCACGCCTGTCATTCTTCTTAAGTGGTGCTCAATGACTCCCATAGCTTCATTGTATGGCTCATCACCTTAATTCCAAGGTAATTAGTACAACTTTTAACACCCCCCTTGTTTTTGAAGATTGGTATTGATATACTCCACCTCCATTCTTTTGGCATCTTGTTTGCCCGAAAAATGGGATTCAAAAGCTTATTCAGCCATACTATCGCTATGTCTCCGAGGCCTCTCCACACCTCAATGGCGATACAACCAGGGCCCATCGTGTTGCCTCTTTTCATCCTTTTTAAAGCCTCCTTGACCTTAAGACTTCTGGATTTGTCGCACAAAGCACTTGCTGGTATCTTCAAAGGAGTCATCCAACTCAATGTTAGAGCTCTCATCCTCTCCATTGAACAGCTTGCCGAAGTACTCCCGCCATCTATGCTTGATCTCATCGTCCTTGTCCTTCACCAGGAGTTGGTCTGCTCCTCCTTGGTGCATTTTACTTGGTTGACATCTCATGTCTTCCTCTCTTGGATTTTGATCATCTTGTAGATGCCCCTTTCGCCTTCCTTCGTGTCTTAAGTGCTAGTAGAGGTCATCATACGCCCGACTCCTTGATTCACTCAAAGCTCGCTTTGCGGCTTTCTTTGCCACCTTGTACTTCTCTATGTTGTCTGCACTCTTATCCAAGTGCAGGTGTATGTAACAGTCTTTCTTCTCCCTAATAGCCTTTTGGACATATCGTTCCACCGCCAGGTATCTTTAGTTTTGCTTCTACTTCTCCTGGTCACCCCAAACTACTTTGAAGCCACCTTATGAATGCAAATCGTCATCTTCATCCACATATTGTTTGCATCACCTCCTTCCTCCGCCCTCCTTAATAACCCTCTGCTTAAGCGACTAACATGTTCATTACGATGAATTAATTGTTTGATGAACCATGCTAATTTTGTTATTTGTATGACATGCTCCTTAATTTTGTTACAACCAAGCAATCAGATACACTTGTTACAATTTAGCTTCAAATCTAGCTGATCCCCTTAAAATAGATTACTATCTGGCCGAGTAAGGCTTTGTGGAGTATTTTTACTCCACTAACTTTTGCTCGGCCGGTCCCCTAAATATAACGGAGTATAGTTTTTTTTCCAACTTATGCAATTCTAGTTTACATTGCAACTATATGTTAGCTCACATATAGAAACTAAACATAAATATGAAGGTTCAAGCAAATCATGAATATAGTTTACAAACCGAATTATTTAAATTTAAACACACCGAATGGTTGAAATGTACTCCCTCCGTTTCAAATTACTCGTATTCTCCTTCCAGGATGTACATTGAGAAAATGACTTGATGTCATGACCATGGTGGTATAATTGGATGGATGAGAGGAAATGTGCCCAGAGAATTGGAAAATCAAAACATTTGAGAAGACAGTGTTTACTTACATTTCAGTGAATCGGGTTTCTTTGTGTTTGTGCAACAACGATTTAATATGGCTATCTTACTCTTATGCGTGTTCTGGTTCCATTTTGTGTATCAAGTAGTGCTCTTCGGAAGCATCATTGGTGTTGTTTGGAAGCGTTGTTACTGTTGTTCTTTGAAAGCATCAGTGTATTGTCTATGTAGCCAAAATTTCGTCCCTACTTGTTTCTGTCACTTGTGTATTTGTAGCCGTTCAGTTCTAAACATGGTAGGTCTTCCTTGTGTTACGATTATGCAGGTACTAAGCCTGACCTGGGAGGTTCGTATATGGAGATCCTCTGATGTCTTTGGGAGCTGCAAACAGGCTTTTCTGATCGTGTATTATATATTTGTGCTGAATATCTCATATGCACACAGCGCTTAACCGAACTTCAGACTTAGAAAGGAGTTTTTTGTCGTTTATGTCTAATTTCCTTTTCCTTGTTTTCACCATGCTATCTGTAACAATTCCATGTATGTCTCTTGGCTTGTGAAAACTTAACTTACAGTTTCCTTGTTTGAGTAATAGACTAAATTCTGATAATTGTGTAAAAGAAAAGGGAAATTAACTAAAACTTCATTATATTTCATAACATATACAATGCATTGCTGTTTGATTTTGTTGGAACAAATATGACTACTTAAATTCAAGTGAACCTTTTTAACGATTTAATTTGAAAAGTTTATCCTGATGCTTTTGATCAAATCTAAGGCGTATGTGCTAAACAGGCAACACTGATATTATGAGTAAAATCTCCAAGTTCGCTAGAAAGAAACACCTGCAATAAAGGACAAGCTGCATAAAGCTGGAGAGGATTGGGGAGAAGCCAAGAGCAACTCTAGCAGATTCCCTAAAGTTGTGGCATTTAAAACTCTTCTACATCGCTTATAACTTTTTTAAAGGTGCAAAGGAAATGAGCAAACGTGGAGTTTCAAAATCTGATAATTTTCACTCTTGTAAAAAGAAAAGGGCAACCTGGTGCATGTAGCTCCCGCTTGCGCAGGGTCCAGGGAAGGGTCCGACCACTTTGGGTCTATAATTTTCACTCTTGTATTTCTTTAATATTTTTATTGCGGGAATTGTATTTCTTTTAT